ATCACCCCCCGCGCAGAGCCTATTTGCCCTGCCTGCCGAGGGGGACACTCAGCCTAAAGGTCGGAGATGCCGCGGAGGCCGCACGACTATTCTTTCAACCGTGAAGGGGTAGATCCTCACGATACTTCGAATTTGACACTTGAGTGTCATAAACGGTAGTCGAATCCACGAGGGACCGCTTGATTATGGGCACTACATAGTACGCCATCGTTGCGGCTACTTGCGTATTCATGCATTTCTAGTCGATATGGGAAGGTCCCGCTCCTGCGCGATTTTATACTAAGTCTCGCGCTGCGCCTATGCGATTTCCGCATCGGAGAGTTATGGGATGGCTACTAAGGGACTAGGAGTGTTGTCGCGTTGTTCGTTCTATGTCGTTCTGTATATGTATGTATATGTGGGTGTGTTTTTATTCTATATGTTCTTTAGAGTGGTGTGCGCGTGGTGTGTGGGATGCGTCATAGTCGACCGACGACGAGTCGCTCTTGGGACCTCAGCCCCCCAAGGCGTCGGTTCCCGTGCGGGTCTGATAGAGGCATAAAACCGCTCGTACCCCCTATGCTACAACGTACGAGAAACGCCCTCGGCTGGTCCACCTCTGCGATTGCAACTGATTAGCTTTCGTACTGAGGATTGGTAGCTCGGTCGAGATGCGCCCACCGAAGGGAGGTGACAACTCCCGTAAGGTGGAGGTAAGTCGTGCCTCGCGTAGGCCCTATCCTGTCGTAGGGGCTAGCGAGGGGTATGGTTGGCGCACTCAGCTGGAGCGGCTTGCGGAAGCTCCATGTGTATTCGCCACGAGGATCAGACTGACTCCTGCGTGACGCGGCCGGGAGGGTCCCGCCCCGTTTTGTGTGGTGCCGGACCGATGCGCTCGACAACGACCTTGACCTTTCAGGACTGTAGCAACTACGACCTTTGACCTTTTAGGATTGCGACAGGTACGACCTCTACACAGCTACGAACCCTGCCTGAAAGACCTACACAGTTCAAAACCCGACAACCTCACTACCTCACTATCCTACAACAACAGACAGACGACTCGCAAGACACATGTCACGGGTTCAACCACACACAGGGCAACTGATAATGTACATGGTTAAGGGCAAGGTCTGGGGATCAGGCCCTGGGATCTGCATTTGCTACCGTAAAGGTGAAAACCGTTTCATGTTTATCCTTGTTGAAGTTATTGTGGAATTCATCTGACAAGCTGGCTCTACGATATGAATTTCAAGAAGCCCCTGCAACTTTCCCCTTCATGTGTGTTCCACACTGAAAGTCCACATAACTGTCCATGGTTGAAGGCATTGCTGATGGCAAGCCTATGAATTTCAAGAAGGCCCTACAAAATTCACCAGGATGTATTTCAAGACGTGCTGATGGCATGGAGATGAGAACCTGCTCCCTCTCCATTGTTGCGAGAGGTAGGGGTCACAAAGATAGGGTGTAGAGTCCATGGTCGATGGCCAACCTAAGGTGACAGTAGGTACCTAAAACCTTGGGGAAACAACGCTGCAAGTCTACATAATTGTTTTGTTATTGGTTTTTCCCTTTGATTGTATAATTCACAACCCGCCGCATGCTTTCCTCAGATGATGTAGATACTATGATGTGAATTGTGCAATCGATTTTCAGATCTTTAACCCACGTACCAAGAATAGGTGCCCTGACATGAACGTTCTGACAAAGCAGAAGGCTTCCAATTGACTGGTGCTTCACTATGATGTGACACAATCCACTCGGCAGGTTGCTTTACCGCAACAGCGCAACACAATCAAATGAGAAGACTCTCTCTCTCTCTCTCTCTCTCTCTCTCTCTCTCTCTCTCTCTCTCTCTCTCTCTCTATCTATCTATCTATCTATCTATATATATATATATATAAGTTCTGTTTGTGACAATATATTGCCCCCCCTCCCCCCGCCCTCTCTTTGCCCCTTACTCCTTGCCTCCTGCCCCCGCATTCTTTTATGTTCTCATCCCCATGTAAGTGCAATAGCTTAGGCGCGTCCTTACTCCTTGGAGCATCTTCGACTTACAACCTCCCCCTCAGTGCCCGTGTGGACTCCGCTACCAGCAGTCCTACCAGAATCATTGTCGTGTGAGTGGGCAATTGTCAGTTGCATCGATTCAACGACCTATATGGATGTCCGCATATTTATCGTAGTTACCATCCGGACAGCATGGATGTCCAGGTCCGGATGTTGTACATATAATTTAGAAATATACTAACTTGATCATCGCTCAGCATAAAAGGGCCTTTACGATTCAGACCCCAAATGAGTACTCCAGCATAGTGGGGCCCGACGGCCAGAACTTAATTTCACGAAGAATTCACAAAGGACAAGTACTCTGAGGCAAAGGTCACATCCACATGAAAAGAAGTTGTGTGGAAAGTCGCAGTCAGGTCCTGGACGAACAGGTACTGTGTTTTATTTTAATGCTAAAGATAAGGTCACGTTTGTTCAATACTAAGTCAAAGGTCACAGTCCCAGGCCAATCACAGTTCCCAGGGTCACGTCTGATTTCAGTTCAGGAGTCCAAAAGACAGGCCCAACGGCCACAGCAGCAGCAAACTATGGGAAAGGATACAAGGATACACACTTTGCAACAACAGGTACTGGGGAAGAGTCCCAGGTCGAGGGAGGCTAGTAACAAAAAATCAGGTGAGACCTCGCCAGACCAGTCCAGCAGTATAAAGGACTTGCCAACCTCCTCATTCGGCAGAGACTCATTGGCATGAGAGTGTGGAAGTGCTGAGGCACTTGTGCGCCAGAATGCTAGTGAACTGCGCAGACTAGAGAGTTGCGCTAAGGAAGAAGAAGGGAGCTGGGCGCTGGCTGAGGGAAGCAGCCAGTAGAAGTTAGTAGCATTAGAAGGGTTAGTAGTAGGAGTACCAGTGAGTAGTATTCAGAGTAGATCCTCGTGTGATAGGGAGTGTGCATGCATGATGAAGTGTGAGTAGACCAGGACTATAGACATAGAGGGAGAGAGAGAAGAAAGCAGATAAGAGAGGGGGAGGAGAGAGCAATAGTGATAATTACCTGTTGAGCACTGTTGTTGACGATTGGCAGCTGGCACTGAAAGAGTGCGAGGCTTGGAACTTGTAATTGATTGAAGAGTACTTGTAACTCTGTTCAGCGCTATACATTTTTGGACTCACGTTTTTCCCTCTCCTAATCTGGTTATGATATTTTGAGTTGAGCTTCCTGGTTCTCATTCGTCTTCTATTGAGCTATGTGTGAGATATTGCAATCTGTGAAATTTGTGTTTATGCATCGATCGTGAGGTACTATTCCAGTATATCTGACATTGTAAGAACTTCAGTCAACTCTTGCGCATAAAACCTGCCATCCAGATTAGTTAGTACTGATAAAAAAAAAACAGCCAGACAAACGAAAGCATAAGGAAAGGTGTCGAAGTGAAAGACAGGCAGCAAACAAAAAAAGATTCTATTCAACGTTTGATTAGCAAAAGTTATATTTATGAAATTCGTTATATTGAAGCAGCAACATCCAAACTTAAAAAAAAAAAAAAAAAAAAAGACCCCATCCACTCAGAAAGTAGATTAGGTTTCGGGTAGCTGCTTGGTGGGACAGCGGAGGCCACCCCTGTGTTGCACCCCATCATGGATGACTATCCGATGTTCGGTATGGTGGCCCTCTCCATTATGTTGGTAGCTGCTTGGTGGGACAACGGAGGCCACCCCTGTGTTGCACCCCATCATGGATGACTATCCGATGTTCGGTATGGTGGCCCTCTCCATTATGTTGGGGCCACTGTACAACCTCTTCTTCCCCCTTGGCTTCGGGAGGGTGTGCTCCTCCCATATGATGATGAGATCAGGCAAGATGAAGCAAGGGCTGTCTGCGACAGAAGGCAAAAGTGGATCGCCGCCTGGCAGAGAAGCAGAAAGAGAAATAATTAAAAAAGAAACAGAAAGAAGAAGAGGTAAAAAAAATAAAGGAAGAAAGAGAAAAATTAGAAAAAGAAATGAAGGAGAAAGAAAGTTGCAAGAAGAATTGAAGGCGGTTGAAGAAGAAGAAGAAGAAGAAGAAGTTGAACCAGAGAACGGTGAAAGACTGTACAGACGCCAGACAGAAAGGGGTGAGACTAGTGGAACTCGTGGCATATGTATAGAGCCGGAAACTATGAACTGGTTGGACCAATTTGGCTATAAGACATAAATGTTTGTTGAATCGGAGGAAGAGAGGGATATCATTGTTGCAAATTTGGCCTCAACCGCAGATCCTGCGGAGAAAGAAATCCTGCTACAAGAAAAGAAAGCAGAACTAAATAATAAAATGGTGGTTGTGAAAAGGCAGGAATTTGAAGAAAAGAAAAGACTGAAGGAAGAGGGGGAGAAGTTTCAGCAGCAATTGCAAGAGCGAAAGGAAAAACAAGCTGCTACAGATGAACGATTGTCCCTCCTCACCGATACCCTCCTCCACACCAACAAACAGCTCGTTGCGTTGTCAAAGCAAGTGCAGAAAGTTGAACACCACCAGTTTGAATTTGAAGGCGTCTGGAACGCCTTCCTGCAGAGATATGCACAGGAAGTAGATAAACATATAATAGCCTGTGTACAAAAATTAAATGAAAAAATAAGCAAAAGATTATCTGATCCCGTCGTAGTAAAAAAACCAGTAGGTGGCGGCGGAGGAGATGGAGGAGACAGAGATGGAGATGGTGGAGATGGAGACAAGAAAAAGGGAATGCAACAAGCGGAATCAGGGGATGTAAGGAAGATTAAAGTAAGAGTACCGTGGACTTACACGGACAAAAAGGAAGAAAGTGTATTGCATTGGATTGCGGCAATAGAGTCCTATGTCTATGGGCAGCGCATACCGTATTGGGACAGAGTTTTGATGGTCAGTTCGTGTATGGCCGGAGATACCATGAGTTTTGCAATCTCTTTGCAGAAAGAAGCATGTTGCCAATCCATGGTGGAATACTCCTAGCAAACGCGCATTGAAAATTTCTTTGAAGTTGTTCGAGAAAGGTTTGAGGACAAAAATCTAGCCCGGAGAACCGAAATGTTGATTCTTAACATTGCGGATAGGAAATGGAAGAGTGCGTCTGCACTCGAGGCTACCATGGATGAACTCTTGCAATGCGCTGAACGTGGACTCACCCCAACTCAGATTATGAATAATTTTGCTAGAGCACTACCCGACCCACTCCGTACTCAACTGTATCCCCGTACCAAAGAAGAGGGGATAACATATGAGAAGTTCAGCAAGATCGCAATAGATCATGATGGCTTCCTGGCAGAAGCAAACTATTGCCATCATTGGAAAGATCTGCAAGCAGGAAAAAAGTGGCAGAACCGTACGATCTCTGGGAATATACCGGGGAAAGACAACCTGCTTCTGACCTTTGAAGAAGGAGGTGTCGAGACTCTCTCCTACGATCAAATAGACTATGGTCTGGAGGGAGCACCTAACGGTACGGTAGTTCAGGAGGGGGACTATGCGACCATTGGAACCCGCGGGGGACGGCGACAAGGAAGAGGAGGCCGCAGACGTGGAGGAAGAGGACCCGGCACCAGAGGGGTGGTGGTGAAGGTAGCTACTATGTGGGTGGAAGGGGCAATGGTCCCTCGCAAGCTGGCCGAGGTTCCAACTTCACGTGGGGTGGAGGAAGAGGCACGTGGCATGGAAATTGGGATAAGCCATATCCACCCCATCCCGGTTTGCCAGAAGGCAGACCTTGGGAAAAGTTGGGGATTACAGAAAAGGTCTGGCAAGATAGAAAAGTTGCTAACCAGTGTCTCAAGTGTGGTGACCCCAACCACATTGTTCCCTACTGTCCGGATTACAAGGTACCAAAAGGGAGCAGCCAATAGGGGTTTCAGTTGCCTCTACAGAAACTTCGGATGTAGACAGACAAACATCCTTCCATCCGAAGGTTCCCCTGGCAGAAACTGAAAAGGAAGACGGTCCCCACCTAGTTAACTGTCCAGAGGTAGTTAGTGTGTGTACCTCTCTAGGTGGATCCCTCGCTGGCATGGGTGATGAGTTGGCCACTAGTCGCAAAGCCTCGACCGAGATGAAAAAACATAAGGGACAGTTAATAATTGCAGGTCTAGAAGTTAATAAAGTAAGAGTAGGTGGAATGATTGATAGCGGGTCAACACGCAGCTATATAAGTAACAAAGGTTTGCAAAAGTTGTGTCTCGGGCTAAAGGTGAAGCAGTTAGATGAGCCCGTAGTAAGTAAATTAGCAAATAGTAGTGAAATTGTGATGGACAGATATGTCGAGGGGATCAAGACATACTTTCGGCTCGAGGCAAAGGGGAAGGTGGAACGCGTTCTCCACTCTCTGACTCTCATGGTGGAAGATAGTCTCCCTTTTGACATTCTCTTAGGCACAGATTGGGGGGAAGTTGCAGATGCAGATGTGAAATTGGGATCACATGAGTGTTGGCTCCCTAGCCCGCAGGGTGGAAATAAGAAAATCCGTTTGTATCATGAATCAGGTAAGGAAAGCAGCTTAGCTCATTGTTGCATGAGTGCCCCCGCGTTCGCCCGCCATGTAAAGAAATATTACCTGTATGATCAAGTGTTTGTGGCGTATGTGCACCCAGTCAAGGAAGGTCAAGATAAGGAGGAGGCAAAGTCCCCAGAAGTGGAGAAAATTCTGAAAGAATTCGAAGATGTGGCAAAGGCCCCGAGCGGTGTGGTAGAACGACCCATAAAGCATCGCATAGAGATTATACTGGGAAGTCAGATCCCTGAGGGCCCTGTCTACAGAATGTTACCCAAAGAGTTGGATGAACTACGAACCCAGCTAGACGAATTGCTGGAAAAATGATGGATAAGGCCTAGCTCCTCACCCTATGGTGGGGTTCGCATGTGCATAAATTATAAGATTGAACGACATAACAGTTAAGAATGTTGAGCCATTGCCAAGAATCGATGATCTATTGGATAGAGTTCAGGGATGCAAGTACTTCACTAAGATTGATTCGAAGTCTTGCTACCATCAGATTGAGGTAGAACCAGAAGACCAATACAAGCCTGTCTTTCGGACAAGGTATGGGCACTATGAGTTCATTGTGTTGCCCTTTGGTCTTACTAATGCACGTGCAACCTTCCAAAGAACGATGAATGAGCATTTCCGCGAGTGGCTTGATAAATTTGTCGTTATATATCTCGATGATATTTTGATTTTTAGTAAGAATTTGAACGAGCATTGTGAGCACCTTCGACTCGTGCTAAATGAGTTGCGTGAGGCAATGCTGAAATTGAACCTCAAGAAATGTGAGTGGGCAAAATAACAAGTGTTGTATTTGGGGCATGTTCTTGACGGAGAAGGAATCAAACCGGAAGACGCAAAGATTGCAGCCATTCGAGATTGGCCTAGCCCCCACACTTTGAAAGAATTGTGGTCGTTCCTTGGGTTGGTTAACTATTATCGTAAGTTTGTTGAACACTTCACGATAATCGTTGCTCCCCTTCGCAGACTGTTGAAGAAAGAAACAATCTGGAAGTGGGACAAAAACTGCACGTCATCGTTTAAGCATCTAAAGAAATGTTTGATTAATTATCCGGTCTTGAAAGTCGTTGATCCTTCCTTGCCCTTTGTGGTTACAACCGACGCCAGTCAGTATGAGATAGGTGTTGTACTCCAACAAGATGATGGAAATGGATACAGGCCTGTGGAGTTTGTCCCGACGACTGCCTAGTGAGAAGGTCGCCGCTTCCACGTATGAAAGAGAATTGTTTGCTCTTCGGGAAGTTTTGGATCATTGGCGTCATTATCTCCTAGGACGCCACTTCAAAGTGTACTCTGATCATGAGACACTTCGCTGGCTAAAAACGCAAGCTCGGATGACACCTAAGTTGACAAGGTGGGCTGCGGAAATTGATCAGTATGACTTTGAATTGAAGTCAGTAAAGGGGAAGTACAATGTTGTCGCCGACGCTTTGAGTCGAAGATCTGACTTTTTCGGTGCTATTGTAACATATTTAGATGTAGGCACCGATATGCAAGATAAGATTAGAAATGCGTATTCCACTGATCCTGTCCATGACGCTATGTTATAGCATATTCAAGAAGCGCCACAAGAGTTTCGTAACTATCGTGTAACTCAAGGACTGTTGTTTAAAAGAACAGATGTGCATGATAGGCTTTGTATTCCAGATGTGGAAGAGATTAAAAGTATGATCTTGGGGGAGTGCCATGATATAGAACGTCATTTCGGGTGTAAGAAGACCTATGCTAACCTTCTGCGTTCCTACACCTGGCCTCGAATGAAGCCTGATTGCATCGCGTATGTGCAAGATTGCCAAGTGTGCCAACTTAACAAGAGCACCACACAACCTCCCCTTGGTCTCCTTAAGCCTTTGCCTATCCCAACAGGTCCAGGAGACTCTGTGTCTATTGATTTTATGGACACAAAGGTGAAAAGCAGGAATGGGAAGACTCAAATCATGGTGATTGTTGACAAATTTAGTAAATTTGTTGTGTTTGTAGCACTGCCTTCGGAAGCTAGAACTGACTTGGTGATTCGGGAATTCTTTAACCATTGGGTGAAAGATTATGGACATCCCTTAACTATAGTCAGTGACAGAGACTCGCGGTTCACAAGTGAACAATGGCAGCAACTGATGAATGTTTATGGTTCTAAATTGACGACGTCGTCTGGGCGACACCCTGAGACGAATGGGCGGATTGAGCAAATGAACAAGATTTTGCAGCAGACGCTGCGTATGTACATTCGTCCCGACCAGATTGATTGGGATGAGCATTTGCCCAAAGTTGCTAGTGCCTATAACAACTTTGTACACTTATCTACTTGCAGAACTCCGATGGAGTTGTTGCATCTGGGATGGCGTCCCCGCAGACCTATAGATTGTTTCAACCTAGATCAAGTACACAAACTTCCGTTGGGAACACGGGAATTCGCAATGCAATACCAAAAAGATCTAGAAAAGGTAAAAGAGAATATAGTCAAAGCACAGCATCAAATGGTTGAACAGGCAAATAAGCACAAAAGACCTTCTCAGTTTACTGTAGGCGATCTAGTGTGGGTTAAGTCTAAAGAGTTTATCCCAGAAGAAAACATCTCTCAAAAGTTGTTACCCGCCTATAGAGGACCATGGCAAGTATTGGATGTGATAGGAGACGTAGATGGACCCTCCTACGTGATTGAAATTCCTCAACACCTGCATACTTACGCGGCGTTTCACGCGTCAAAGCTCTTACCTTGCGTAACTAATGAACTGTTTCCCAGCCGCAGATCAGCAATTCCTCCAAGTATGGATGGTAAATATGACGTGGATGAAATCGTTGGTGAAAACGTTGTTCAGACTGGACGTAGCGGTAGACCCCAGCGACAGTACAAAGTCAGATTTGCATATCAAGATCCAAGTGAAGATCGCTGGTATACCATAGAAGAGCTTATTGAATCAGCACCGCATATCGTATCCGCCTATGAGCGAGCAAAAAGAGGAATCAACATCGTGGATAGATAAGAACTTTCTCAGAGGACTTTGAAAATTAGGCCGGCGGGAGTAAAAGGGCCTTTACGATTCAAACCCCAAATGAGTACTCCAGCATAGTGGGGCCCGACGGCCAGAACTTAATTTCACGTGTAGCATTCCAAAGGACAAGCACTCTGAGGCAAAGATCGCATCCAAATGAAAAGGAAAAGTCGTGTGGAAAGTCATAGTCAGGTCCTGGACGAACAGGTACTGTGTTTTGTTTTAATGCTAAAGATAAGGTCACGTCTGTGCAATACTAAGTCAAAGGTCACAGTCCCAGGCCAGTCACAGTTCCCAGGGTCACGTCTGATTCAGTTCAGGAGTCCAAAAGACAGGCCCAACACACACTTTGCAACATCAGGTACTGGGGAAGAGTCGCAGGTCGAGGGAGGCTGAAAGTAGACCTCGCCAGACCAGTCCAGCAGTATAAAGGACTTGCCAACCTCCTCATTCGGCAGAGACTCATTGGTATGAGAGTGTGGAAGTGCTGAGGCACTTGTGCGCCAGAATGCTAGTGAACTGCGCAGGCTAGAGAGCTGCGCTAAGGAAGAAGAAGGGAGCTGGGCGCTGGCTGAGGGAAGCAGCCATAGCTGCACCAGTAGAAGTTAGTAGCATTAGAAGGGTTAGTAGTAGGAGTACCAATGAGTAGTATTCAGAGTAGATCCTCGTGTGATAGGGAGTGTGCATGCATGATGAAGTGTGAGTAGGCCAGGACTTCAGACATAGAGGGAGAGAGAAAAGAAAGCAGATAAGAGAGGGGCAGGGGAGAGCTATAGTGATAATTACCTGTTGAGCGCTGTTTTTGACGATTGGCAGCTGGCACTGAAAGAGCGCCAGTCTTGGAACTCGTAATTGATTGAAGAGTACTTGTAACTCTGTTCAGCGCTATACATTTTTGGACTCACGTTTCCCTCTCCTAATCTGGTTATGATATTTTGAGTTGAGCTTCCTGGTTCTCATTCGTCTTCTATTGAGCTATGTGTGAGATATTGCAATCTGTGAAATCTGTGTTTATGCATGTGATCTGAAGCACTCCAGCAAGTGATGAACAGTCGGGTTCCTTGCAAGCATATCAAACGGTTCATTATTGGCATAGGAGCGTCGCTGCTGGTTTGCCTCACAAATAGACTAAATAGGTTAACATTTCCTCATGGATGTTGTTTTACAAAGCTGTTGTTTATATGCTGTTATTCTTGCAGTTGTTCAATGAAATAAACTCAAGGAAGCCTGACGAGATTAATGTCATTGAGGGGATGCACAAAAACAACATTTTTATTGGGGTTCTCTTAACGACAGGGTTCATCCAGGTATATTATCCTGCGCCACCAAAAATAAGCCTCGTTGTTTTTGTTTCTTTGGTGGTGGTTGGGTTCGTTAGGAAGGTTATAATTGCAATGACCCACACAAATCGCCGTCTGATATTCCTGCAGTTTCTCAGAAAATGTTGTCCTTTCGATCGTTTTTCTAAGAATTCTGCACCTGAGTCTGTCCCGCTGTGTTTTCTCAGTGTGTATGTGACCTACCACTAACGTGCGTGTGCCATGTGCTTGCCTGAGTCCAATTCTGGGTCTGTGTGCTAACTCTGTTGGCCGTGTGAACAACATTTTTATTGGGGTTCTCTTAACAACAGGGTTCATCCAGGTATATTATCCTGCACCACCAAAAATAAGCCTCGTTGTTTTTGTTTCTTTGGTGGTGGTTGGGTTCGTTGTTATAATTGCAATGACCCACACAAATCGCTGTCTGATATTCCTGCACTTTCTGAGAAAATGTTGTCCTTTCGTTCGTTTTTCTAAGAATTCTGCACCTGAGTCTGTTCCGCTGTGATTTGCTGTGTTTTCTCAGTGTGTATGTGACCTACCACTAACGTGCATGTGCCATGTGCTTGCCTGAGTCCAATTCTGGGTCTGTGTGCTAACTCTGTTGGCCGTGTGTGTGTGGCTGTGCGTTGGACAGGGACAAGGTAGGGATAGAGAGACGGCCAGGAGTAGGACAGAAAGTTAGCAGGACATATTGGGGGTAGTTTAGCCCCCAGGGACATACGTAGAATTTGCTAGGGACACGGTAGGGATTTTCCAGCAAGTTGGTTGCGCCAGGAACCCAGTGAGGGGGGTAGAGGCAGGTAGTACCCGGCTGGGAGGTACTGGAGGCTGGAGGCAGCAAGGATATCATTTGGTCCAGTGAGCATTCCATTCACTCACCCAGCAGTCATGTTGCTGCTCAGCCAAGAGGGAGAAGCGGCGGAGCTCCTGGAGGAAGGTGGAGCTGGAGGATGATCAAGAAGACCTCCATAGCAATGGAGGTGTAGTAGGGAGGAGGTTGAAGTAGTCCTAGGCTATGGAGGTGAGGGAGAAGCGCCTCTAGCTAGGCTGTGGAGGTAGTAGTAGTCCTAGGCTATGGAGGTGAGGGAGAAGGACTTCTAGCTAGGCTATGGAGATGTAGTAGAGGTAGAGGGAGGAGGAGGTAGGTGGGAACCAGGAAGGAGACTCACAAGTGAAGCTGTGGTGTGCAAACAACTGCCATCTATCCAATCTCTGTTCCTCCATCTTTTAGTGCAACTAGCTTGGTATTCCCAGAGATCTTAGTTATTGTGAAGCTGAACCGGCACCCGCATGGCAGATCCTTGCTCTCTTTACCAGCCATCCATTATGACACATGCTGATACAGGCCCTAGGTTTGATGCATATGTACCAAACTGCAGGGCCTCGAGGCCTCAAACAGTTCTCTTTTATTTTCAGACCTTAAGAGGAAGACTGGATACACTGGAGGCAGTACCCACAACTTTTTGCACTTATTTAACAGATGGCAGCTTAGAATTTCCACAGGATGCAAGGTGAGGTAGGGTCAGTCAGACTGAGTGTAGTTAACAAAGGGATGGAGAATACGCACGCCCAAATCCAATTGATTATGCAACACTCGAGCTGCATTGTAGGCCCTTTCTCTCGTGTTTGAAGTCCTGTGATGAACCCAGACTGACAGATACTCGCCAGACATCAAGCACAAGTAGTCTCAGATCTGCACAAAGTCTCCAGTTAACGTGAAGTGATACCTGAAACAGTATCTTGTTACCATTAGACGAAGAGAGTGGGGAGGGAATAGACAGAGGAGAAGGTGGAAGACATAAACAATGATCACCCAAGAGTAATGCAATCAAATCCCACTTCTTCTCCGGGCTTCCTCTCTCCTCCACGTCATCAACCAGTACACGATAACAAGTATGATAAGTCCTGATCACACAGAATTGCCACGTGGCACTCTTATCTCGTGAAGACCATGAAGACAACAGCAGATTACGGTAACGACATCAACCTCAGGTGAGTACCCGATCCCAATCATCCACAGATCCCGATCTCCCTCTTTGTCACAACCAGTCACTTCATGTAGACAGCATGGACAATGCCATGTCAGAAATAGAGACAGGTGGCATGCGCCACATCGTCGATGAAGACAGGTGGCAGCGCCACATCAGCAATACAATGTAGGCAGGTGGCAGCGCCACATCAGCAATCTAGACCAGTGGCATGCGCCACATCAGCAATGCAGACAAGTGGCATGCACCACATCAGCAGGGTAGACAGGTGGCTGCGCCACATCAGCAATGTAGACAGGTGGCAGCACCACATCAGCAATGCCTGGCGCACAAAACAGAAAACGCCAGCATGCTGCCACAACCCGCATCGTCGTCCTTAGTGCCTGCGCACAGCCAGCGTCAATGCCAGCGTCCAGTCACAGTCGAGCCAGCGTCCAAGCAGCTTAGCAAGACTAAATGTTGACCACCTTGAGTCCTGTCCTTTTGTAGTGTTTGCCGAGGCTGTCTGGCCTCCGGTCCCCTCCCCACAGTCGTACAGATTGACTCTCAGCCGAGGGCCTGGATGATGTACAGTTGCAGATTTCCCCTTGGTCCTGATGCTGTCAGGGTACCTGCATACAACCGGCGGCCTGGGATGGGTCCACTTTGGACTTCGACTGTTGGATCTCGACAGTTGACTTTTGTCAATTGTACCTCGCTCAGGCCCTAAATCTTTAGTTGGGGTCTTTTTCCCCTTTTTGGCCTGGGCCTGGGTGTGGCCTGGCGAGACCCTCAGTCTTTCCACGAGGCATACAACATGGGTTATTGCATTCCTGCCGGCCCATTTTTCGAGTTCCATCGCAAAAAAGGCATCAGTTTCCCTTTAACCCATGTTCATATGCAACAATAATATCATGAGCAGTAGATAGGAGTTCTTTCTTGCTAAACCATCTGGCTTCAGATGGAGGTTGAGACTTGAACTTTACCTTATACTGCTTCTGAGGTCTTCCTCCGCCACCTGTAGAAAAGTAGCCATGTTCCAAAATTTTCTCAACTTCGTATCCTCCATTCATAGAGGGTGGAAACATAGATGGCCTGTTAGGAAAACTATCTCCTTCTACATACGGTTGCAGTTTAGACGCATGAAAGACAGGGTATGTCCTTAGGTGTGGAGGTACATCTATGCGTTAGGAAGGTCCATCGGCATCTCCTATCACCTTGAGAACTTCCCAGGGGCCATAGTAGACAGGTAGCAGTTTTTGAGACACATTTTCTTCTAAGGAAAACTCTTTAGATTTAACCCAAACAAGGTCTCCTTCTTGAAACTGTGAAGGTCGACGATGTTTATTGGCCTGTTCAATTATCTGTAGTTGGGTTTTTTGTATGTTTTCCTTAACCTTCTTGATGTCTTCTTCATATAAAACTGCGAATTCACGCGTATCTGGGGTAGCCTCTGAATCTGGTCCCTTGTTAACGCACCAATGAGACGCCCAGGCTTCCATCCTTTATGCGGTGCATTAGGAGTTCTACATGTAACAATATGTATGTTGTTATTGTTGGCACTAACAATCTTAGGCAAGTTCTCATCCCAATCTACCTGATCAGGTCTGACATACATTCGCAAAAGTTGTTGACAAAGACGGTTCATTTGCTCAGTTTGGCCATTCGTTTCAGGATGTCTACCTGACGACATGGTCAATCTGGTCCCATATACTTCCATCAACTTCTGCCATTGTAGGCTAGTAAACCGAACATCTCTGTCAGAGACGATGGTTTTCGGGAATGCATACTCAGAAATCCATTGCATCTGAAACTTCTGGATAACCAGTTCGGTTGCTTCAGCAGGCAAAGGAATGAACATAGCATACATTGAGAATCTATCTACGATGACCATTACCTGAGTGTTGCCATTTCGACTCTTAGTGAGACTCATAAAGTCTATAGAGATGGACTCACCTGGCTCACTTGGAATAGGCAGTGGTCTTAACAATCCCAGCGGATTCTCATGCTAGGGCTTGTTCCTTTGACACACAAGACAAGTCCGCACATGTGTTAGTACATCCTCTTTCATTCCCTTCCATTCAAAGCGTTTTCGAACATTGGCATACGTCTTTTTGAAACCAAAGTGACCCTCAACATCATGACATTCCCCCATGATTAGACTTTTGATTTCTTCTTTATGAGGAATGCATAGTCGTTCTTCGGTTTTATCTATGTAGAAGAGTAAACCGTTAGTCATTCGATACTCAGGGAATAGTTCAGGGTTTCTTCGTAGGGTCCCAATGATAGGACTCCAGATAGGATCACTCTCATAACCCTTTCGTATCTGTTCCTTCAACTTATTCCCAATATCGAGATAAAAGACAATGGTTCCAAAGAAATCTGCACATCTGGACAAAGCATACGCCACCACATTAGACTTTCCTTTGATTGCTTTCAGTTCAAAGTCAAAGGTGTTGATAAAAGCGGACCATCTAACTAACGTATCAAAGAGTATAGGCTGAGTCTTTATCCATATCAGAGTGGAATGGTATGAATAGACAATGAAGTGCCTCCCTAACAAGTAGTGCTTCCAGGTGTCCAGTGCAGAGACCAAGGCATACAACTCCCTTTCATAAGTGGAGTTGGTCACTTTCTCTGACGGAAGTCTCCTGGGCATAAATTCAATCGGTTTATATTCCTTACCATCGTCCTGCTGTAGCACAACCCCAATTCCATACTGACGTGTGTCAATCGTGACGATGAAAGGAAGAGAAGGGTCAACAATCTTCAAGACAGGGTAGTGAGTCAGCACATACTTCAATTTTCTAAATGACGACTCACAATCTTTGTCCCACAACTAATGTTTTTCCTTTTGTAGTAGTCTTCTCACAGGAGCATCTATTAAGGAGAAGTTTCTGACGAACTTCCTATAATAACTTGCAAGTCCTAGAAAAGATCTCAGCTCAGTTATAGTCTTAGATTGGGGGCAGTCTTGGATTGTTGTAATCTTCTTTTCTTCAGGCCTTAGTCCTTCCT